AGGTCTGCTGGAGGAGGGGTAGGCTCCCCACGCCAGTATTCTTGGGCTTCCCTTGTGACTCAGCTGGTAAACATTCTGCTGGCAATACGGGAGACCTGGGTTGGATCCCTGGGTTGGGAAGATCTCCTGGAGAAGGGAAAGGCTACACACGCCAATATTCTGGCCTGGAAAATTCCTGTATGGGGCATGGGATGGGAAAGTCGGACACCCCTGAGCAACTTTAACTTTCACTCTTCAAAGGGCCCAGACTAGCCAGGTCACTTTTCTGAGAAAAAAATTTGAACCTTCACTTGACCTAACCATATCAGGAATTATCCGAAGCTGCACCCGTGGCGACCGATGGATAGGGAGCCCAGAAAGAGGCCCACACATGCGTGAAGTGCAGATATGAGCAGGAAGGGCACTTCAGATGAGTAGGGAAAGGAGAGGCCACCCAGTAAGCAGAGCTGGGCCCCTGTTTCTCTGTATAAAAAAACACATGAACCTGGATTAGTGCCAAGTATTCACCTTGCATCTCTCAGTCCCAACCCCACACTTCTGTAATCTTCTCTATAATGCAGAGTTTAATGTATGTTTGCTCTATTATGTGAGAATATTCACTTCTACTACAGAGGACAAGGAAAGCAAACAGGATAGGTGAAAATCGTCAGTATTAACTATAGATGACAAGTAAGCAAGTAGTTTGTGAGACATAAGCAGAATTCAGATGACTAAAAATAGGAACAAGTTTGTAATCTGTAAGACTCGAAAAAAGAATAAATGGAATGTACTACATAGAAAAGAAGGGAAAAAACAAGAGTGTTACTTATGTGTAGGAAGGAATAGAAAAATCAAAGCATAAGTCAGCAGGTGTAGAGCATGCCCCCTCAGGGCTGACATCCTTAAACCCTCTTCCTGTAGGTAGCATCACTCTGGCCCCTGTATGGTCTGCTGCAAAAACACTGACTAAAGGGCTGGCTGCCCAGAACCTATGAGTTGTATGAATAAGCCTGACGCCAGACCTGCTTGCCTGCGTCTCCCAGTAGAGCAAGTGTACGTTAGTTCCAAGCATCTTCCGCCTACTGACTCCTTTAACCTCAGTTCTGATACTTGCAACTACACTAGCGGAGCAAAACACAAGATTCCGAGAGCTCAGCCCTTTCACCCTGTTACACCCCATCCCAAGTGGGGTGCTGTGCTGTGCTTAGTCGCCCAGCCATGTCTGACTCTTTGCAACCCCATGGTCTGTAGCCCGCCAGGCTCCTCTGTTCATGAGGATTCTCCTGGCAAGAATACTGGAGTGAGTTGCCATGCCCTCCTCCAGGGATCTTCCCACCCAGGGATTGAACCCAGATCTCCTGCAAGCCTCCTGCATTGCAGGCAGGTTCTTTACCATCTGAGCCACCAGGGAAGCCCAAGAATACTGGAGTGGGTAGCCTATCCCTTTTCCAGGGGATCTTCCCGACCCAGGAACTGAACCCAGGTCTCCCACATTGCAGGCAGATTTCTTTGCCAGCTGAGCGACCTGGAAGCCCCCAAGTGGGTTAACCTATCTAATTCTTTCCTATTGGTTCTATATCAATAACCTCAGATATGCAGATGACACCACCCTTATGGTAGAAAGTGAAGAGGAACTAAAAGCCTGTTGATGAAAGTGAAGGAGGAGAGTGAAAAAGTTGGCTTAAAGCTCAACATTCANTTGAGTAGACTCCGGGAGTTGGTGATGGACAGGGAGGCCTGGCATGCTGCGATTCGCGGGGTCACAAAGAGTCAGACACGACTGAGTGACTGAACTGACTGATTGGTTCTAACTGTATGGTTTAAATAGACAGCCTCTAAATACATCACCTTTGTAATTTCATCACCATAATTTGGTTTGAGCCTTCTGGTCTGGGGCCTCTATAGCCTGCCTCAGACACACTTGGAGGTTTCCACTGCATGGAACCAATCTCCCAAAAGACACTATATGCCACATTTCCCAGACTCCCTTGTCAGCTGGTTTCTGATTTTGTTCTGCCAAGAGGAAGTACTGGAGAGATTGGCAGGTGGGAAGAGGAAACAATAGGCTCACATCTGACCGCAGGTTCTCATCGCTTCCTTCTAATATTAATATCTGGACGCTTCCACCACCGAGGATCCCTCCTTGCCAAACTGGGCTCCACATCCTGAAAACTTTCAAAGACCCAAGATAAGAAAGCAATGTGGGGGGAAAAAAAGTCTTGGTTCCAAAATATGAAAATGGTAAATCAAAATGAACAAATATTTTATTAAATGCCTCCTAAAGGTAAACTTAACCAACTTAGAAGCTGCAACTCACTCTTTTGATGAGATGAGATGGTTGGATGGCATCACCAATTCGATGGACATGAGTTTGAGCAAACTCGGGGAGTTGATGATGGACAGGAAAGCCTGGCATGCTGCGGTCCGTGGAGTTGCAGAGTCGGACAAAACTGAGCTTGCGAATTGAACTAAATGTACTAAAGTTTGAATCACAAGAACAAAACGAAGAATATACCATAAAACTCAAAATTTTTAAGAATAATTTTCCTTACTTTTTTTTACATCAAAGTTACATTTAACACAGGATGAGGGTCTATTTTAAATGGACTGATGTGACATGAATTTGTTTGGGGCCTGGGGTGGTGGATGCTCATTGGTGAGGGCAGCCATGACCGAGCGGTCCATACACGGTCTGATAGAGCCTGTCACTCTACAGATGGCTGTTGCATCCTCCACGATGTGTGGTGTAGCTGACATCCTCTTTCAGCAACAGCTCATGTGACAAAGTTGGGGACCAGGGACATCCAGGAGCAGCCCAGAAAGGCTAGAGCTTTGAAGGCGCTCACTAGCTCAACTCTGCGTGACCTGTGACGGAACTTAAGGCTGTGGTCCCAGGGTGGACGTGTGTCCAGTGGCCAGAACCCTGAGTTTGTGGGTGATGAGGGTAAGGCTTTGTGTGCTTGGAGGGATGAGTCTCAGGGACCCTGGAAAATAGGAAGAGTGGTCAGTTATCCCCTGGTGTCATGGTTCTGGGGTCATCCACAGTGCTTTAAGCCAGAGAAGAACAGCTCTGGTTTCCCAGAGTGATCGGGCAGCCTCCAGTGGCCCCTACTCCTATTTCCCTCCCTGAAGTCTGTCATCCACTTTGTACCTAGCCTGACTTTGTTCTATACCAGGGCTTCCCAAACTTTAGCATGTATGAAAGAGAGTGCCTATTAAAAGCATAGAGTCCCAGACCTTACCCTCGATTCTCTGTGCACCATGCTTTGAGAAGCTCTGCTCCAGAGGATCATTCTCTCTTCTGCCCCCAGAATGAATTAAGAAATTCAGGTGCTAGGGACAAGTTGTTTCCTGTTTCCTGTGCTGCAGCTAGGGCAGACAAAGGGCATTTAAAGTAACCAGAAGACTTTACCGAGGATGAAGGAAGAGCCAAGAGAGACAAACTGGTTTTCATATGGGGTTTCCAACCTCCCGTTCTGTTCGCCTCCTCTCACTGGGGGTAAAGCAGACCCACTTCCTGGAGCTGAGAAAGTTGGGGTGGGGGAGGGCAGCTTTCTTCTCTGCCCACTTGGGAGTTCCAAGGACAAAAGCCTGATTTTAAAAATGTGTCTTCTAACGCTTTCTGTCCCCATCTGCAGGTCCTTGAGATCACAGTGTGGTCAGTGTGGTCAGATGTGAATTCCCATCTGCACTTTCCATCAGAGTCATAGCATACCACCACCGTGTGCTACCAGTCTGCTTCAGAAGGCTTTGGTTTCCTTCTGTGATGCAAGGCTTCATTTCCTCTGTGAAGGAAAGTCAGGCAACAAGACCACAGTGGAAGTTCTGGGTTTTGCTTTTAGACCTGGACATGCTTCCACTCTTATAATGCCAGGGGATCTCTGCAGAGAAGGAAATCAGAGAGGAGCTGAGGGTGCTGGGCTTTCTGCCCCTTTGGGCTTGGTGCCACGGTCATCGTGGAAGAGACTGGACTGGACATCTGTAATCCTGCGAGCCCACTCAGGATCTCAGAGCATGGTCTCCAAGACCGTCCCTTCTCTTCCCCGCTCCCAGTGCCATCATCTGCTCCTCCAGGCTCCTCTATCCCTCCATCTCCATCCCTACAATCCAGTCCGTGACTAGGCTGACCGCCCAGCTCACACTTTCTGTAATTTGGTTTACCAACATCCAGAACAACTCCTGAGGAGAACGCAGCTCCAGGATCAACTAGGTGTAAGGGGGTGGAGTCAGGATAAGTGTTTTTTTCTGACAGAAGAACAGGATGGAGCCCCTAGAGTCTCAGCCCCAGGACTGGAAAGGGGGTGACTGGGGAGAAAGCATCCCAGGTGCTAGTGGATTTCTTTGCCTTTATGATGCTAATGAAAGATCAAATTATGTGAGAAAATAGGGCTGGTTACAGGGGGAAAAATAGAAACCCTCCAAATTAAAATAAACAAATCTGGTAAGGGGGAAAAAGTGAACAACTACCGTCATTTACGGTGTCCTGCTCGGACTTGCTGCGTCGTTACCACACATCACGGTCTGCATCAGGTTTAACACGGGGTACGTTTTACCTGGGCGTCCCTGTTTTTACCTGATTAGCAAAAATGCACACCCTTGTAAACTCAGGTCCTTACCAGTAGATTCCTTCTGCAAGATTGTTCTCAGCTTAAAACTTAAAAACCAAGAAAAATAAAAAGGAAAGGAAAGGAGGGGGGAAAAATTTAGAGGAAACCTGCCCTGGTTACCTGTAAGGCTGACACCAAGGGGTTAAAAGTTCAGTGGAAGTGAGCTGGAAGAAACTGGGGTCGCTCTATCAAGTTGAACAAGGCGTCGGGGGCCCTTACAAAAACCTTTTTTGGCCTCAACAGCGGCAACCCCGGCCTCCCTCCTAACGTCCTCCGCCTTTGGGACTAAGCGGGAAGCTCACGTTAGTGGCAGCCAAGGAGAGGGGCTGGCCGTGCCAGGACCGAAGAGGGAGGGGAGGGGAAAAAGCGAGTTTCGCCCACCCCACGCTCGGGCGGAGGGGCGGGGAGCCGCGCGTCCCGGCCGGGCCAGGCAGTGTCTCGCGCTCTGCGCATCTCTCCGGGGTCGCCGCGGGAACGATGCTGGGCCGCAAGGGCGCGCGCGCGGGGCGCGGGATGGCGCGGGGCTGGACCGCGCTCTGCCTGCTGAGTCTGCTGCGTGAGTACCGGCCGCGCGCCCAGCCCGCCGGGTTGGGCGGCACGCTCTGCGCATCTCTCCGGGGTCGCCGCGGGAACGATGCTGGGCCGCAGGGGCGCGCGCGCGGGGCGCGGGATGGCGCGGGGCTGGACCGCGCTCTGCCTGCTGAGTCTGCTGCGTGAGTACCGGCCGCGCGCCCAGCCCGCCCGGTTGGGCGGCGGGGAGGGTCGGCCCTCTCCCGGGGGCAGAGCGCGCCGGGTCGAGGCGATCGCGGAACCAGGGGGACCCCCCCCGCCCTGGGGACCCTTCCCCGCCCCGGGGACCCCCGCCCCAACCCCCGCGCCCACGCCCACTGCCGCAGCTCCTGGCTTGATGGGACTGAGGCCGCTCCCACAGAGCCCAGTGGGGACCGGCCCCTCACCTGGGAGTCGGTGGGGGTGGGACGCGACGGGAAGGGGACCCCCTGAGTGAAGCCCAGGTGTAAACCGGGCGGTGCGCCCCAGGCCTCCCGGAGTCAGGCCGGAGACTCTTCTCTGAAATAAAGCACTCTGGAGATGCCAAAGGTGCGCAGAGCTGGAGCCAGAACCCGGGGAGAGGGGAGGAGAGAAGAAAAGGAAAGGAAAGGAAAAGTTTATAGCTGATGGTTGATTCGGAAAGCAAGCGGCAGCCGGAGCCGTTTGCTGGGAAGGGAGCGCTGGCGCCCGCCGACCACCTGGACGCGGGGAGCCAGAGCTGGACCTTCAAGGAATGGGAGCGAAGCCCGCCTGCGACGAGACCCTGGGTCCGGGGTCCAGAGGCCTGGGAGGCAGGCAGAGTTAGGTGACATGGAGAGTTTAGAAGAGTCCGTGAGGGTGTGTTTAAGATGGGAAATCTATGTTAGGACTTCTCTGGGCATCCACACCTGTTTACCTGGAGAGAAGAGTCGGGTGAATGGAATTTGTTCTGTATTCTGCCTTCCTCTCCCCACCACAACTGCTCACCCCGGCACAAATTCAAGCTCCTTGCATTTGGGTTTTTTTCTTTTCCCCTGCCCTGTTCTCCAAGTTCTAACTAGTGGACAGACGTGCAGACTAGGGGGCACTGCTTTGCTTATCCAGGCAGATCTGGATACTTCTTAAGCTCTTGCTGTCATTTCTGTTGAAAAGAAAAAAATTGGTAGGCACACAATCAATATTTATTTGTAATTGCTTTCATTTGGGGATAACACTCTCCGTTCTCATCTCATGGAGCTTAGACAGATTTAAATATTGTAAGTTATTCTCTTGTTAGCTCCAGGTTCTGCTTCCAGGCCTCCAGGGCTCCCAGTTCCCTAAACTGCATCCTAAAAGCCACCCAACGTAGTCCCTCTGAGTGACCTGGGTCAGCCAGCCAGGCCTCTTATGCTATCTTCCTTTGGGCCCACCCAGTTGGAGAGAGACTCCAGGCCGGAGGAAGCTCTGTTAGGCTCTGGGTTAACTTGTTTGGCAGACCCAGACATGCTGTTCAGGGCTGGGAGAAAAGCTGTTGCTCAGATGTTGAAGCCCTAGAATGCGGCATGGCCTTGGGGGCTGTCTGCACCTCACAACGGGCTGTGTTGACCGGCAGCTCGGATTCCTATCCGATGCTCCACGCTCCTTTGGCTTCACAGCTCATGATGACCTGGTCCCGGGCCGAGTGAGGCCCACCCTTTTCTTATTTCCTCAGCTGGCCAGTCTCAGTCTCGCCTTGGCCTGCAGCGGAGGGGATGGGAAAGCGATTTAACCTCTGCAGAACCCTGAGCAGACACATGCAGAATTTCAGCGTGTCCGCTTCGGGGATGAGCAGCAGGCCCTAGGTCCCTCCGCTCAATCTTGCCCCACTGCTCAGGCCACTTTGTAGCTTTATGCCTTCCCCCAGAGCTTTCTGGGGTTTGTTTTTATTTAATACCAGGAGTCATTTTCTGATATGTTGTGGGGTAAATGAAATGAGTGACTATACCTTGAAATGCTAACGAGGGGACATTGCAAAAATTCTGTGATATGGTTCCTGTGACCTTTAGGGAGCCACAGAAGGGAGGCCTGGAGTTTTCTCCTCTCCAGAGCTTTGTTCTGGGAAGGTCGGTTTTTGGTCCCTGTGAGAAGCTGTCCCGGGCTTGAACCGTCTCTGTTGGAGATGGGGCCACTCTGCGTGGTGACCAGAGGCAGGCTGGGGTCTGACCTGAGTGTGTGTGTGACCAGAGTCACACCTCCAGCTGGGAGAAGCCTTGCAAGTAGGGAAGCCCACTTGTCAGGCCCAGGGTATCTGTTTCCTCCAAGCCCTCCAGGCCTGTCTTTCCTCTTTGTCCAGCGTGTCCCACCCCTTCACATTCCTCTTCTTCCTCTGGGTCCTTCGTGCTTGCTGACCCCACACCCATATCCTGTCTGGGGCTGTGTGTAAGAGGGGAAAAAAGAAAAGGGAAAAGAATTTTATCAGATATTTTCCGGAGGGGAGAGACTCCACCCTTGACTCGCTGCCACATGGAGACCTAGATGGAGCAGCCTTGGGACCTCTGACTAATTCCATGGTCCCCAGCGCTCCCCCTCCTAGGGCTGGCCCGCTGGCACTGCCTTTGCAAACGCAGGTTTCCCTCAGCATTCCTGCTTGACTGATAAAGGGAGCCTGGGCATCTTTTTCTTATCCCTTTGGCTCCACCTCCTGGGCCTCCCTGTTCACTAGTTCTCATCTCCTTTGGAAGAGTCTTTGTCTTCCAAAGCTCAGGGCCAGAAAGCCCACACTGCAGCAGATAAATCAGGCCTAGCGTTCTTTCAAAAGCAAATCAAAAGGAGCAACAATTCCACTTCTTACCACCTCGCTGCCTGATTCCCTTTAGTTCCTGGGCAGGATTCAGCTGGCCAGTCTCAGTCTCGCCTTGGCCTGCAGCGGAGGGGATGGGAAAGCGATTTAACCTCTGCAGAACCCTGGGCAGACACATGCAGAATTTCAGCGTGTCCGCTTCAGGGATGAGCAGCAGGCCCTAGGTCCCTCCGCTCAATCTTGCCCCGCTGCTCAGGCCACTTTGTAGCTTTATGCCTTCCCCCAGAGCTTTCTGGGGTTTGTTTTTATTTAATACCAGGAGTCATTTTCTGATATGTTGTGGGGTAAATGAAATGAGTGACTATACCTTGAAATGCTAACGAGGGGACATTGCAAAAATTCTGTGATATGGTTCCTGTGACCTTTAGGGAGCCACAGAAGGGAGGCCTGGAGTTTTCTCCTCTCCAGAGCTTTGTTCTGGGAAGGTCGGTTTTTGGTCCCTGTGAGAAGCTGTCCCGGGCTTGAACCGTCTCTGTTGGAGATGGGGCCACTCTGCGTGGTGACCAGAGGCAGGCTGGGGTCTGACCTGAGTGTGTGTGTGACCAGAGTCACACCTCCAGCTGGGAGAAGCCTTGCAAGTAGGGAAGCCCACTTGTCAGGCCCAGGGTATCTGTTTCCTCCAAGCCCTCCAGGCCTGTCTTTCCTCTTTGTCCAGCGTGTCCCACCCCTTCACATTCCTCTTCTTCCTCTGGGTCCTTCGTGCTTGCTGACCCCACACCCATATCCTGTCTGGGGCTGTGTGTAAGAGGGGAAAAAAGAAAAGGGAAAAGAATTTTATCAGATATTTTCCGGAGGGGAGAGACTCCACCCTTGACTCGCTGCCACATGGAGACCTAGATGGAGCAGCCTTGGGACCTCTGACTAATTCCATGGTCCCCAGCGCTCCCCCTCCTAGGGCTGGCCCGCTGGCACTGCCTTTGCAAACGCAGGTTTCCCTCAGCATTCCTGCTTGACTGATAAAGGGAGCCTGGGCATCTTTTTCTTATCCCTTTGGCTCCACCTCCTGGGCCTCCCTGTTCACTAGTTCTCATCTCCTTTGGAAGAGTCTTTGTCTTCCAAAGCTCAGGGCCAGAAAGCCCACACTGCAGCAGATAAATCAGGCCTAGCGTTCTTTCAAAAGCAAATCAAAAGGAGCAACAATTCCACTTCTTACCACCTCGCTGCCTGATTCCCTTTAGTTCCTGGGCAGGAGGGCGCAGGCCTGAGTTCATGGTGGGGTGGTTACCTGGCTCCACCTTAAGGGTGCCTGGGTTTCCCTCTCCCATTGACTTTGCTGGATGTCACTAAAGGGCCCCGAGTGTGGGGAACTGAAAATCCTAAGGTATGGAAAAGGAATAAAACACCACCCTCCAAAAGAAAATGCTCAGAGTTGCCAGGGCAGAATTTCCATATTTTTCTGGGCTTTGACTTTCCTAATGAGAACATTCTCTTCCTTCCTCAGCTAAGAAATAAAAACACAGTGTCTACACTTTTTAGTCTCAAGGGCCCTCGACTTTGCTCAGGAGAAAGATGCATGCGTCTTGGGAGAATGTGGTAGAAATGAATGCGGTAGAAATGTGCATCCCAGGACATACACCCTGGAGCCTGCTAGAATGAATCACTTCCCTTTGGACATAAAGGAAAAGGCCCCTGGCTTCATTGGGAAGTCTGCTCCTGATTTAAGAGGGAAAAAAACCACAAAGAATCCACCCCAGCTATCTTCCTGGAGAGCCCCGTCTCTAGGTGGCCAGCTCCATTGTTTAAGAAAATGCCTTAACGAGTCTTTGGTTGAGAAAACCTGGACCCTAGCACAAACCTTTGCTGGGCAGTGGCAGGCAGGAAGTTGAATTGCTGAGTGCGATAAAATAAAGTGGAACTTTGTATTTGATGAACCCAAGAGACAAAAGGCTAACGGACTCCAAGCCCAGGCAAGCATAAAGAGAGGAGGGAAGCGCCTGGAGCAATAGGGCAACGGTCGTGAGTGGAGGGTGGAAAAGACCTGGCTGGGAAAATTCCTTATGGTGTGGCCCAGCTGTGTAGCACGGGAATGTCTAGTATTTCCATATTATGCTGTTGTCTCCTCTGGGGTGTGCTGTAATCTCCCTGCATGATCTTAAATCTTCAGGCAATTCACACTGGCCTTGTAGCACTATTAGTGTTGCTCTGGGTAGGGGGAGAAAGGGATGGGTATTTGGCGAGCCCACGGTACAGCAGTGTAGAATGAGAACTCC